TCCTGTGCTTTCAGGTTTCTAATAGTAGTCTAACAATTATCAATTCATGATTTCAATGAAACTCAACAATCTCCAGAACCTAAAAATAAAGTTATTTCATAAGTTAATCATGTTATTACTGTTGTACTGGTTACTAGAAAGTCTTTCATGGTATTTGATAAAATCGTTATTTAACAAAGATTACAAATAAATCGATGGAGTTGTTTAGAAAAAAAAAATGTATTCACAACCTTTAAAACAAACGATCCAAATAGAGAAATCGCTTAATTATTTAGTAATTATGTCATAAGCAAATCTGAGATGTTATTACTTACTTACTTACTTAAGCCTGTTACCCCCGTTAGAGCATAGGCCGCCAACCAGCAGCATTCTCTAACCCTTACTGCGTTACAAGACAAACTCTCACATCGAAACCCTCAAGGCAAAAGGAAAAGAGGAAGGTCCAAGGTAACACATAACGCCGAGAAATAGAGAAAGATATGAGAAGAATGAACAAAAATTGGACAGAACTGGAAAGAGAAGCCTTGGATAGAGTAGGTTGGAGTAAACTGGTGGGCAGCCTATGCTTGATTGGGGCAACAGGCGTAAGTAAGTAAGTAATATCATTGATAATTTATTAAATACTTTTTTTTTACAAATAAAAATCATTCATTAACTTACTCACTAAATCCATCACTGATTCCACTCCGTTTGTACTAGATTCATTCAAATGACTTGTTAATTCATCATTTTTCACATCAATCAACTTTTGTCTATTATTATTATAATTACGTCGTTGTTGACGATAACGTTTATTTAACATTTCAGAATAATTTACAGCTAAACGAAAAAGACGATGATATCGATCACAACAACAACAGTATGCTGGTTCATTTGATGCATAAACGGATTTTGTCAAACAGTATGATAGAATTCGACCACAAAATTTACAATTTTTATTACCATCTGCAATTGCAATTCGTTTTGCATATGTTTTAGCTAATGAAGATAATTTCATCCTTTCGAGATTATTTCTACAACAAACATCTTTTACTACCTTGATAATGAGTGAAATAAGGAATAGGAGAAAGAAAAGATTATTACAATGTCACATGATGACAAGATGAGATAAATGAATAGTATAAAAAAATTTGCATTACGGGGTTGTGAAGATTGGTAAGTTACACATTTTTGTTTTGAAACCATGTATCGATCAATGTTAGACCACCACCATTAGAAACTTGGAAGCACTGAAAGACGGCCGTCTCGTCCTGGTATGGGACTCATCAGTGGCAGTGCGCATCCACGACTCCTGCACCCCGCAGTATTCGAACCCAGGACCTTCAGTATTGTGCGCGAACGCCCTAACCGTCAGACCACTGAGTCGGTATCCAACGGTGTTAATGTCTAACTTGAAACAATTCATGGAGTTGCGCAACCTCATACATAGACTTATAGGTAGTAGTTACTGTCTACACCCGAACAGGTTGAACTTCACTGGTCACGTCTTCCCACTAAAACTTGCAGAAGATTCCTCACGAAGCTAGTCACTAGTTTGCACAGGTAATTTGCATTACGGGGTTGTGAAGAATGTTAAGTTACACATTTTTGAAAGTAGTTCATGTTACATTCATCACGTCAGTGTTTCATGTGTTTTGTTATACAGTATTATTATTATTAATAATACCCTTCAAAGTATACTCAATTAATCAAATATTCGAAATTTAAATGTCGATTAAGAAATTTACGAGCATTCACTTGGCGGAACTTATCCTATGAAAGTAAGGATTTTGTGAAAGAAATATGATACGTTGAAATGTTGTAAATCATTGAGGTGGTAATTGGTCTGAAGAAAACTACTGTATTGATATTTGTTGAGATTATTAACACTGGTGTAGTTATGAAGGTATTTCTTTGTAAAAAGAACAAAATAATTTCCTGTCTTTAATGCAATCTCAAATGAGTTTTGTAAATGTACTGACTGATAAAATAAAGGTCATGATGGTACAAACAAGTTCTATCATCACATCAAGGATATTTTGATGAATTCAAAGTGACCTTCATGAAATTATCCAATCAAATTGTTTTTCTAGCAATATTGTCTGTAAATAGTTTAACTATTGGTCGATAAAATGTAGAATTTGGAATGTTGTGGTGAGATTTTATTTAATTTCGGTTTAAGTTGCCCATCTAAATTTTCACTATTCAATCATATTTATTGATTGTAACTTTCAAATTTACATTGAGTTCGATATAATTTTTATAAAACTTTACATTTCATCTTACTGTATTGATCTGAATTATAGCAACGTTAGGGTCAGTTACAACGTAGAACTTCGTACGTAAGTACAAAATAGCATATCATGTTAGACTACTTACTGGTCAGTTAAGAACTAGATGTCAGCGATGATGACACAATCTAATATTGAGTATATATGATGTATAGGGAAATATATTTATTTACGTTATGTTGCCATACCACATTAGCACAGAGACGTAACTTTCAATTCAAATCCCATAGTGGTAGAGATAGTAGAAATATTAACGGTAATCGGAGAGATTAGGGTTCGAAGATATTATTCAACAAGTATATTTCAGTGAGATACGCTATCGCAAACGATTTTCAGCCATGTCGTTCAACGTCTCTAACCATCGGTTACTTTCGTCTCACGCACCTCAACCAGGTAGCCCACATCTACCAACATGTCTCAGTCTACTTGTCTGTCACTTCATGGATTTCTGCTATGTTTTGGTTTGGCCGCCCCTAGCTTTCTTCCAACCTACTCCTACACCACAAAACATAGCGCGACGAGGCAGTCCGTCGTTAGGCATTAGTAACACATGTCCCAACCACCTCAACTAATGAAGTTACAATACTTCATCTATTCACCTGCCATCCCTATCTAGTACTCCATTTCTAATCATAGCATTGCTTACTCGGTCGTCCCACCATATACCAGCAATGCTCCGAAGACATCTACAATCGAACACCAATGACTTACGAATGTCTTCTACTCTTACCGGCCATGTTTCACATCCAGATAGTAGGACAGAGTGGTAACATCATACATACCTCACTACTCTACGCATCACACACATACAACATTACACTACACAGTCGATCAACAGACTACCAACACAACTACATCAACGAACTTACTCATCAACCACAATCACACATCTCACTCACTCACAGCTCACCAATCGTCACCATCATAACAACACACCATTCTCACTAAACACTCACACCTCATATGTCGAACTGAGCGTATGAGCACTCTTTCACAGAGGCCAACACAACAACACAGATCAACATCAATTTCGCAAGGACATTAGTATTCCATGGGACAACAGCCAGGAATGTGGAGCTCTTGCACAACAATCACCTCAACTAACAGAAAAACCCAAAAACAACCACCCATACACACACGCACACAACTGACGAAAATTCACTTGCCACACCACATCAAACCAATCACCGACACTCAACAACACCCAATAACACACTACATTCACAACAACTCTACACACCTCAAACACAACAATCCAACAACTCAATTACCAGCCCACAACACACAAAGCAAGCATCTACCGACTTCTCCACACACACCCAATAACACACCATTCTCTAAACGCAAACTGCACTCCAAAATCACTAAACCATTATTCTGTCGCCATCACCCATCACTCATCATACACACGCGCATACAAGCAGTGGAAACATCAATCAGTCAGTCAGTCAGTCAGATACAATCTAATACTGAGTATATATGATGTATAGGGAAATATATTTATTTATGTCATGTTGCCAAACCACATTAGAACAGAGACGTAACTTTCATTTCAAATCCCATAGTGGTAGAGATAGTAGAAGTAGTAGCGGTAATAGGAGAGATTAGGGTTCGAGGATATTATTCAAGAAGTATAATTCAATGCGATAACTTTGTTGAAAACAAACTGTTCCAGAACCATGTATAACATTAGTAGTTATAACTACAAGGTTAATCTAACAAGAAGCTGTCACATGTTTTCAAGTTGTCACATAATATCAGAAAAAAAACTGGTTAAAATTACCAAGACAAATCCCAGAGCAGTAGCAGAATAGATTAGACATAAATGATATGTTTTGGGGGAGAGTTTTGAAGGTTTGTGTTTTTACACATTTGAAATCATCAGTCGTGGATGCACACTGCTGATGAGTCCCATACCAGGACGAAACGGCCGTCCAGTGCTTCCAGGTTTCTAATGGTGGTCCAACAATGAGTGATTGATGATTTCAAATGTGTAAAAATGCAAAAACCTCCAAACCTCTGCCCCAAAATATCGTAACAGTGCTCACTAGTGACTAGCTTCGTGAGGAAATTCTCGGAGTTCTAGTTGAGAAGACGTGACCAATGGAGTTCAACACTGTCGGGTGTAGGCAGTAACTACCAAAGACAAATGGGTGAGGTCGCGCAAGGTAGCGGCTTCGGTCGAGCAGATGATTAGGCGTTCGCCTACAATACCGAAGGTTCAGGGTTCGAATCCTGCGAGTAGCAGGAGTCATGGAAGCGCACTGCTGACGAGTCGCATACCAGGACTTGACGGCCGTCCAGTGCTTCCAGGTTTCTAATGGTGGTCTAACAATGATTGATTGATGATTTCAAATGTGTAAAAATAAATGATATGATCTGAGAAAAAAAAATTCATGAAACAACAACAAATATAAGAATTTTTCAAGATAGAGGATTGAATACATCTGTGTCATTATGGCCGATTCTAAGACCTCACTGAACATTCCTAACTATTGTTCAGGATAGTTAGTCGTGAAAATTTTAACAAGGCAGTAAATTCAGCTTAGTCGAATAACCGATTGGTTTAATGGACCAAAGCTAAGTTTTAGTTTGATCGTTCAATTCAAAGTTAGTGGATTGGGATTAGAATCTGTAACTCAGTGATCAAATGTTGAGTACAATTTAACCGAAAAAAACTATTGTTCTATAAATGCAGAAATTGTATACCACAGTACTGTTGTTATAGTATGGTATACTAGATAAAATATGAAAATGATTGAAGGGGTCCAATTGAAAAGTTAGTTATAAAACCAATATACATCTACTAAAAGATGGGACAGCTCTTCCAGTTGTACCAATTCACCATTTACGAATCTTGCGGGGTGCAGGAGTCGTGGATGCGCACTGCCACTGATGAGTCCCATACCAAGACGAAACGGCCGTCTTTCAGTGCTTCCAGGTTTCTAATGGTGGTCTAACATTGATCGGTTCATGGTTTCAAAAATGTGTAACTTAACAATCTTCACAACCCCGTAATGCATACTAACTTTAATCATTAATCGTTCAAATATTCGATAACAGTATCAACTACTGTATATTTGATTGTGTGTGTGTGTGTGCATGCTTACCAGCTTATTATTACATGTCTAGCTTGTTATTGTCTAACTATAAGTGTGATGCGAGCTACTTATGAGTAGTATATAACGTGAGTAAAAACGTAATGTCTGGCAGCAGAAGATGGGGGAAGATCAAGAAAGGAAGAGTTCGAAAACAATGGAATTAGTATGAAAAGCATGAACAGTGACAATGGATTGATGTTTTGCAACAGGAACAGTCCAGTTCGATATGATGGACTGATATTTTGCAAATTAACGATTTACGATATGGTTTTCCGATTTTACTGAGTAACTCTGTAATTTTCGTTAAATACAATCTGGTTGCCCCACCTGTGTTCTCGTTCACTACATTTGGTGTCGCTGCCTGCACGAAGGAGGGAGCTCCCGTGGCCGAAGGAGTTTGAGGCCGTGGTGGGGCTGGTGGGTGTTAAGGGGCCGGGGGCGGAGTTGGTGATGCTGGGGACGCTGCGGGGATGTGAGGCAAAGGCTGTATACGACAGCTTGGACGGTGCCGCCGGGGAGACGGCGTGGGGGACGGTCACCAAGCGGCTGATGACGGAGTTCGACAGCCCAGTGGACAGGGAGAAGGCGCTGCGGGAGTTCCGGTTGTCGAGGCTGTCTGCTGATGGTGACCCGCTGGTGCTTGCTGTGGAGCTCACTAGATT